TTAAGGCATCTATGCGGGGTAACCAGACATGGACTACATAGGTTGTAGTGTACTGGAAGGCAGGCTTCTTGACTGACCACCTGTTCTTGTGATTAGCTTCTTCCCAGAGTTATTTCTTCTCCTAGGTTCTTAGGTGGTGGCACGTTCTGTAGGGTTTGAGGCGCTCGGGTTTTGGTAGGGTCCAGCTGGGTCATCGCCTCGAGGCACGTTCCTTTTCATCCGTGCGATGCACCCCACTGAAGGAGATGACGATTTTGTGCACTTTGGGTGGCAAGTGTCCCGTCTGATCCATGCCGCGGTCGCACCTTGTCAAGATCACCGTGCTTGCTGTATGGGTTGGGTGGGTTGGGTGGCAGTCATCGCGTTCTCCGGGGGCCAGCGTGAGGTAGGTGGGTCACTCGTGGCTCTATGGTTGCTTGTTATCCCTCACCATGCCGTGCAATTCTCTGTCTACCGTATGCATACTGCTGTAGGCGGGATAAACTCGAGAGGAGGATCGAGCTTCTGGGGCACGCCTTGAGCAGCGAGGCGCTGTCGCTTTTCCCTGACTTCCAGCAGCGCCTGGGGGTGCTCAGGAGGTGCGATGTGGCATTCGGACTCCGCTTCGTCGGAGACGAGTAGGGTGTCTACGTCTGGGTTACAATCTCACAGTATCTAGCACGGGCTTGTCGGGGCTTCAGTTGAAGCCTATTGAATCAGACTCACAGCACACAGAATGCCGCTCAGTACGTGGTGCGTGTCAGGGCTAACCTAGGCTTTGGAAGCCACCGTCAACGCATGTCGAAGACGTGGGGATCCCAGACGCAAGCGACAGCCTTCTGTTCCCAAGGCTTGTTGCCTCGAACCTGCTGCTACCACACACTCTTGCCTGTCGTGGTCCGCATGCAGCCTGGGCTACGTGGAGGGAAACACGGTGCAGCTCAAGGGGAGAGTCGCGTGTGAGATCAACACGTGTGACGAGCTGATTGCCACGGAGATGGTGTTCGAAAATGTTTTGGAGAGCCTCGACCCCCCCGAGATCGCAGGTCAGTCGTTCGGTCGGTTCACGCCCGTACCATACTATACCATACCATACCATAGTATCAAGAACACATAATCATGCGATACGCCCCGCTTGTTTTGGAGACGCAAACGTCGCAATTCATCGCATTGCCACATGATCTCCTCCGCATTGCCAAACGGTGCGAGTTTCAACGTTAATTTGCACCCGCCTTCGACCCCCGAAAGTGTTTTGCAGGGTACACAAACTTTTGTTCGAACCGAGGTGTAACCAAGTGCTTCCCCACTCGGCTCGATACGATAGTCTTGTATGCATACAAAGGGACCGGTTTTTACGAGAGGAACTATCCGTGTGACCTCATGAAGCGCTAGGTCCTATCGCGCATAGCTCACGACCCCACAGCGGTTTTTGCCTCGGAAGGGATATTGTCTCTGAGCCATGTCGTATTCGCGACCGCCTTCGCGAGAAAATAATTTTATGAGGAAATAGAACAGGGCGAGGGTGCGCGGACCCTATACCTAAGCTTGACCCAACTTCCCCGATTGCATGCTTTTTCCCAAGATGCTCACTCAGTAGAAAAGAGGAAATAGAACAGGGCGAGGGTGCGCGGACCCTACACCTAAGCTTGACCCAACTTCCCCGATTGCATGCTTTTTCCCAAGATGCTCACTCAGTAGAAAAGAGGAAATAGAACAGGGCGAGGGTGCGCGGACCCTACACCTAAGCTTGACCCAACTTCCCCGATTGCATGCTTTTTCCCAAGATGCTCACTCAGTAGAAAAGAGGAAATAGAACAGGGCGAGGGTGCGCGGACCCTACACCTAAGCTTGACCCAACTTCCCCGATTGCATGTTTTGTCCAAGTTGCTTACTTCTTAATAAAAATGTCCTGCGAAGGCTACTGAATAGTCGTGCCTCCCTAGCCAGTCCTCCCTCCGACATAGAATACACTAACCTCCCAACTCATCCTTGCCTCGCGGTTCTGTTGTTCCTGCTCATGCTTGGATTTTGCCTGGACGCACCAGGAATCTTGTCGGCGCTGATTTTCCAGGAGAAGACGCAGAACGAGCCTCCCCTGACGGACAGGCTGCAGATCGCTGTTGCTCAGGCACGCAGATGTATCGCAGGCATACATCTGATACACCCCCATTGAGGGTTGGAGAGCTCGTGTGTGTTGAGGCACGAAAGTCACCAGCTTGAAACGAACGTAATTGTGATGGATGAGGGTATGGTCGTCCTTGGTCGCAAGTGATTCTGTTGCTCGCTCAGCCGGAACGTCCTTGATGAGTGCATCGTAACCGCTATGTTGACTTCGTCCTCTCCCACCGAGTACATTTCGTCTTGAGCNTGTTACGTCTATCACCGTTTTTGCTTTTGTTTTAGGCCCCCCCCCCGTTGCAAACAATTTCACCCCCCCCGCTCTCTCTCTCTCCCTCTTGGCAGGTGTTGAAGATCGCCCGAAGCCTCGGAAGGCTGCAGCACGACCATGGCTTGCCGGTAGACCCCGAGGAGAACGTCAAGCTCAACCTTAACTTCGGCCTGGTGGACGTGGTCTACGAGTGGGCCAGAGGGGTACCATTCTGCGAGATAACACAGGTGCGCGTCCTCCAGAGTACATACACGTACGGCAACCGCGTGGTCATCTCAGGGTGGTTGCTTTTGTCCACGAAAACCGTGTTTTCCGCAACAACTACCGCACGACGGCATGTACCTTCGCGGGGAAGCACATTCAAAACGTTCCCAAGCTGACGGGAAAGCAAGGAAAAACAGAAAAAGAAAAAAGGCCTGGGGGGGGAGTTAGTTCACTTACAGCCAAAAGGCCACTTATTAACTAAGTTGTTGACCGAGATTTACCGAGATCGGTTTGCTGAAGCTGATAAACTCGACCTGTAAGAAGGCGGGTTCAATATTGGTGGGAAATCCGAAAAATCCCTAACAGATACCTACATGAGCGAGAAACGAGAAATAATGAAAATGGGTGTGTGCCCGTGTCGCCGTGTTTTTTCACGCGACCTCGTCGTCAGATCACTCTGGTCCAAGAAGGCTCTGTCGTCCGTGCCATCACCCGCCTGGACGAGTTATGTCGTGAGGTGAGCGGAAGAAACTTGATTCATAAATCTGTGGCTTGGTGACGGCATTTATGACGTAGAATCGCCCCGGGTATGATACGAACGCACACAACAGCATATTGGTGAAATTGAGAGCGAAGCATGAAATTGAGAGCGAGAGCCAAAAAAATTATAATTCGGGTCCAGACACCTCTTGCCATTTCTTGGGAAGTAGGGGGCGGGCTCTTCCAAGAAGCGGCGCAAATTGAAGGTCTCATCAGCAGCGTCACGAGCATATGCGTGTCATCGTCATCGGATGCTGCAGCTAGGAGCTAGACAAGTTGCTAGATTTCCCCAGATTGGCTATTCCTGCCTCAAACTGTTGCAGGGCGGCTTGGCCTCGGGCGGTGGGCTCTGCTGTAGCTTCTGCTCGCCGCTGTAACTCCACATCGAGAGACCCCCACAGGATGACCAGGGTATCTGCTTGTAGCTACGGGCTGGCCCTTCAATTCAAGCTACACAGCAAGCTTCACCTCTCAGCAGTAGTCCAGCTGCAGCGCATCGCGCAATCTCGCTCTCAATCAGATGCTTCGCTCTCAATTTCACCAATATGCTGTTACACGAGACGTCTGTCTATCCTACCGCCCCCGGGGCGCCGCGCATCCTCAACAGCAGTTTCTCGCTCTTCTCCGGTTGCCTCGGCGGGGGTTCCATTTACGGTCTGTTCGTGACTATTGAGGCCTCACCGGATGTTGAACCGTAGATCCGCACACTAGATGTGTGACACATCGTGGCCGTCCCAACCCAACCCTAACCCTTACCCACGACCATTGCACGGCCTAGCGGCCGCGAACTGGGCGCGAAGGCGACGCGGCGCAGACGCGTTCTCGGAATGCGGAACGGAGAGAGGGCGCTGGAGATGAATCGACCGATAGTAGAACGAACGCTCGACCAATCAGAGAGCGAAAAAGCCCGTACATGGGAAGAGTCATTGACAGACCGTGAAAACTACTGCCCGGTGGTATGTTCAATTTTGTTGATGGCAGGTGCGGAACGCGGCTCGGGTTATCGGTAACCCCACGCTCTACAGGAAGATGGAGGCCACGAGCCAGCTCATCAAGCGTGATATCGTTTTCGCGGCATCCCTGTACGTGACGTGACGTGTAGTCATGTGATGTGACCGCCGACCCGCAGTTGTCCGGGATGTAGTTGCCGAGCAAGAGCTGCTCGTGCGCTACAACGGCAGCTAAGGCTGCCGCCAATGTTGACCTTGTTCAGTTTACGCACAAGGATGAACCGAGTGTTAACTCGGGGTCAAGTGCAGGGAACTTGACAGGACCTCAAGTCATGTTTCGCGTACGTTTGTTGCTTCCCTGGGGAAACATCCTGCTATTTAGCGAGGCGTAGGTCGACAAGCTCCGCCCGTTGCGTCTCTTAAGACAAACGCTACATGACGTAAAAGAACCAAATGCTTGCGACTTTTTGGCGATTTAAGTAGGCTCGCAGCCATAGATATATCTCGGAAGACGGGAGAAAACGGCGGTCGAATGCTTACGGCCTTCAAGTGAAGCATTGCTTCGACTCGTCGTCAAACAATCAGCAATCAACGAATATTGTAATGGACTAGTTGAGGCCCTGAAAAAAATGTAGTTGTTTCCAAGAACATATCTCCAACCCCCCCCACGAATCCAACCGTACGCAAGTTGCCGAAAATATCCACCGCAGCAAAATCCGGAGTTGTGCAACACACGCAGGTCAGTGGGGCCCATATACGTTGGACTACGTCCTCTCATATCACACCGTACGGCTCTTACAAACACCAGAGGCTAAGTCAATCGCATGTTTCAACAACGTTCTCGGCCGATGCCACACACACCCATCACCAGCCAGGAATATTTCGTAATGATGCCCCCATACATTCGCAACACATGGCACTAGCATGTTCGACCTCTTTCTTCGTGCCCTTCACACGGTTTTTCTCACGCGACAAGATGGCTAGTGGGTGAACTGGCGCCTGTCTCCTGGTGCTTTCTGGCCGTAAGGGTTCGTGGCACTGAAAGAGTGCCCGCCGCCCCCGAGAGCCATTTTTCTTCGGCCTTGGTCGCGCTCCTTGCCTCCTCCTCGACCCTTCTGCCCTCTTGCACTAAGCTTCAGGTCCACCTGTCGCAACAACGTTGGTGGCGACAAAAACACAACGTCATCGTAGCCAAGTTAGGAGAAGCCTCTGCAAGACAGGGCACAAGTTGTTTCAAGCAAAAACCATTGCAAACGAACATACATGCCATGCACGCACATGCACGCACACCGCCGAAAGAGACACCACGTGGTGCGCCTCAAAGACCTACTCCGGGGTACCTACATCACACACGATCAAACGTGTTTTCGCAGCGCATATCGTGGGACAGGTGAGACGCGAGGATCAGGTCGTGCCGCACATATAGTACCAGTACGTCTTAGAAGAACTGCTACGGCGACGCCAAGGCCGCTAACGCTAGTTCTTGGATACGCGTGGGGTGAGGAGCAAAGAGGGCGATATTTGAACGCCATGAACGATACAAAGGGCAGAGTTCAGCATGCGGCTCCAAATGCTATGCTTACCCTTGGAGGTACGGTGAAGCCGAATGCCCTCGCCACGGCTTGTAAGTCTAGCTCGTGGACATCGTAGATGTCTTTGAGAGAGTGTGACGAGTACGCCAGCAGGTAGGACCGGTATGCCTGAAACAAGGCAGTAGCAGCAAAGAACAGAAGGGGGCAAACGGAGCATGGTGAAAATTAAATGTGTCATGGCAAGCTCGTGGTCTTGCCCGAAAAAATGGAAGAAACTTTTCGGAACAATCGCCCAAAACAACGCGCGATGGTGACGTGGCGCCAGCTTTCGTGTCGATGGTGGCCAGCTTGGTACCATCAGCAACAGTTTCAAAACAGTCGTGCATTCAAAACGCAGGACTCCCGAAACAGTATCCTATTATGCCGCGCCGAACGCAATCATGGCTCCCAAATGCCCAAGACCGTCGTCGAACTTACTCGACGACGACGCGTGTCTCTCTCTCTCTCTCTCTCTCTCTCTCTCTCTCTCTCACCTCCCTGGCGGACTTGTTGAGGTAGTAGTTCTTCTCGATCAGACGGGAGAGCTGCGACTGAACGTTCGCCACCTTCTTCACCGGGAACTCGTACTCGTTCAGCTTGGCCTAGCAAAAAAAAGGACAAAACGGTCAACCCAACATCCAAGGGTTGTTGACGAGTGATCAAAGGAAGGTCACCTGAGTCGCACAGGTTATACGCTTGCCATTTCGCCGCTCGACACCAACATACTTAACGTATTGCCATATGACGCACGTTGAGGTGCCCAATGGAAGCAGGAGATACTCGAGGTGCGTACAACAAAAGAACGCTACATGTCCTCGTGCAAAACAGAAAAAAGAAAAGGAGATGGGAGCGAATCACTCACCTTGGCCGTCCGGAGATATCGCAGGAACCCCACCTCTTCAGGCAGCAAAAACAGCAGAGCTCTGCACGAACCGTCAACAAGGGCAGGACAAGGCACAACGTCAACTAAATGCGGGATGGTGTTAGGGAGGGAAATCGGGTTGAACCCAGGACCAAGAGCAACATCCCTCACTCTCGATTGGGCCGTACTCTCCCACGGGGATACCCAAACCTCTAAAGCACGCTCGGCTCTCTGTCGCCACTTGGTATCACCACGGCAAGGCACAAGGGTTCTTTTCTTCTCTCTCTCTCTCTCTAGAGCTATTGTATAGGGGCGTGTGCTTCACCTGCCCTTTCCGCTTTGTCCCCTTGCGGTTCGTCCCACCCTGTGGATGTACTCGGCGGTCTGGTCAGGAGGGTCGAACTGGATGATCCAGTCCACGGCCGGAATGTCCAGCCCACGGGCGGCCACGTCTGTGCAGAGCAGCACCCCCGTGTCCTGGAAAAATGAGTGCGAAGAAAATTGTGTCAAAATTTTGCTCGCCGTCCCGCGCGGCGTTAGTTTATCAATAAGTATGCGCTCGCTGCATTGGTGCTTGCCTTTGAACTTGTAGTCAACGCGAAGGTGGACCGTACAACAACCGATTGGAAGGGTTAAGTTAAGTAAGTGCTAGAGACATCTTGCCTGGTAACGCTCCAGACAGCGGTGTGGCGGTGAGTATCACTGTCTACACAGGAGCAGCACCGAACCTCCGGTGGGCTTCAAGGCAAGCCCTCGTTTGCGCGTCCCGTGCAAAACATTTAATTGTAGTCTGCAACAGAGGTACATGCCACAATTGCGTATGGGTACGCAAGTGCCGAGCGGTGGCCCTCCGGCGGGCTCACCTGCTTGCAGAACTGAAAGAAGGAGGTTGTTCGTTTCTGCTGCTTTTGCCGACCGTGGATATCCATCACGGGGATGTCGATATAGTTGAGCAGCTCCGAGTGGAACTTGACGGAGTTGCACGACGAAAAGAAGACCTGTACACCCCATCCAACGACGGAGAAAAGCAAGAGATGAAGCAGAGTAGTACACACGACGGAGGAACATACACGAGAATCAGAGTGCGCTGGCAAACAAGGTCGCGGCCGCTTCTGTTCAAGAGAAACGCATCGGAGGACTACATCCAGCTTGACATGGAATAAACACCGCGCCCTGTGCCTATCGCTATACCGAAGAGAAAAACACTGTCGCGAGACCGCGATATAAGAAAAGCTTCATGACCGAATGACAGCATGGAACAGCAACTCAACCGCACAAAGTCCCCGTCTACCGCAAAATACAGGACGAAACGCCCGTGCAGCAATGCCTAGGGAGTTCATTCCTCGACGGCAAGCACAATAATAGTGTGTAGTTTCGCGTGGTGGACTGTGTACCAACACATTTATCGCGTCAGCCTGTGCTCACCATGATCTTCTTTTTGCGGTTCTTCTTGAGGAAGGTGAAGAGGAGGAGGAAGCGCTTATCGCTCGGGCACACGACGTAGCCCTGAGCATGACATCGGGAGAGTGCGGAAGATGGGCACCATAGAGAACAACAGTGGGGGTGAAATCTCGAGTGGTGTGTTTGACTGCACGTTCTCGAAATGTGTCTGACGGCAGAATGAAGTTTCTGTCCCAACTCCTCTCCTCAGGGCTGGGAATGGAGCACTCTTCAGGCAGCGTGGCCTTCGCACCCAGGCTAAACGAACGCCTGAATGACGACTTGGCCAAATTGCTGTACCGCTCAACAAATCGCAAAACGTTCACCGGCTCGCGTTTTCACAGCACACAACACCAAAACATTGTTGATGTTGCTTCGCGACACGTGCCAACTACTCCAGCACTACGACCACGACAAACACAGCAGGCATACAGCAGTGACAGTCTTCAGAGGCAGTGGGCCGGGAGATGGAAAAAAACCGAACCTGCTCGAGCCCGTCAACGGTGCTCTCCTGCTCCGCGTCGTCCACGCCCACGTACACAGGCTTGTTCTGGATCGACAGTCGGGCCAGGTCCTCCACCTACAGGTAGAGGTAGATTCATGCCGGCATCCACAAGTCAACAGGCGAACAACTCTTGATCTGAGAAGTAGATGCCACCATCTTCGCCGACTGAAATACGGCCGAAATGTGAAAATGCGGTTTGGCACCAGGCCGCCTCCGTAACACGAGCATCTCTTGTACCTCAAAACTATGGCCAGAGCATAAGGAGAGGTGGGGAAGGCAGAGCTGCCGTCCTCTCGTAAACGGCAATTACCCGACACAAGAGAGTCGCCCATCAATTGCGTGTGCGACGAACAACACTAACGCCGGAACGAGAGCGGGACGCTGTTACTACAGCAGTTGCACCAATACATCGCAGTGACTAAGCCATTCTCTGTGAAAACCTGCCCGTGTGCAATCGATGTACCTTCTTGGTCTGCGTGGCGCTGAACAACATAGTTTGTCTCTCCTTCGGCAAAAGCTTGATGATCTGGTGCATTTCCTCCTCGAAACCTTGCTCCAAGATGCGGTCAGCCTCGTCGATGACCAGCATCTGCATGTTGCGGAACAAGAATCCCTTGGTGTTCTGTTGAGGGGGGCAAGGGGCGGCGAAAAGAGGAGGGATTTTTGCACGCTTGAGACTTGTCAAGTCACGCAAGCACACACACAGTACACCTGACCAGCAAAACCTCGCTTTTTTCAAAAATAGGCCTTGGCATCAATATCTTTGTTAAGAGAACGATTGTGTTCCAAATCAAACACTGCACCGCCGCAGTGGTGCGATAGGAGGAAAATACGACCAATCTTCATCCAAACTAGCGGTTTTGTACGAGATTGGGGCAATGGTAAAAATCCAACAGAGGTATGCACACTCTAGAGCACACATGACATCATGGCAGTACCTGCAGATGGTCGAGAAGACGACCGGGCGTCACCACAAGGACGTTCACTCCCTTCACCAGCCGCTCAGCTTCAGCTGCCGGTGTGGTAGATTGCCAGTGTTGGAGCGGAGAAAGGAGAACAGGTCTTAAAGGCTGTCAGTCGTAGATCGAACAACACGAAATAACCAACCCGCGGTAGGGGTCGTTCCTGGCACGGGATATCCTGCGGATTACTCCAAGCCTCACAATATCAAAATTGTCTGCTCACAGGTTGATAACTCCTCAACAGAACCCCCCCCCTCTCACATGCTCCGTCCTTTCGAGGACACGCGGTCAATTGTCTTTCAAGTAAGGCATGCACAACATGCGTACGCTCGCCTTCCCCCTACTCATACTGCCTGAGCGTTGAACATGCTCTCGGGTCGGGTCGCCAACACAACCATCGTGAGTATTAGCTGTGTACATGTGCTAGACGGTTAAGGTGTGACACTATTCTATCCCGCCTACGAAGACTGACCTCGGCGATTAGCCCCGCCGATAAGCAGGCCGTGGGTCTGCTTCAAATTTCCGTTTTCGATAACGTCCCTCAGCACTCCGTACGTCTGGAGTGACAGCTCCCGCGTGGGGCTGATGATGATGCACGCCGTGCCATTGCGGTGAGACCACTTGACTTTGTGGAGACACTGAGAACAAAAGAGTTACAATGTATATTTCAGAAACTAAAGGAGAAAGTGCAGCGCAGAATAGCACATCCAATTGCAGCACGAATACAACCGTCAGCGTCGGTAAGCAATAAAAACATCATATTCAAATGTACAACACACAAAAGCATCTTGGCCATCGTCGACTGGCATACTGTGTAACGCGCTTTGCCAACACACCAGACAGCGTGTATTGCATACGTCACACACGTCAAGAGTCTTCTCAGCACACACCGTACACACTACTTGTTGATTACAATGTGCGTACACGTGCCCGTACAAAGAGGCGACATTGACAACTCAACTCGTTGAGAGAACTGCGATTGTCTGGTTTATGCGGTCAAATGAAATGACCTAACGAGCACAATTCCGCAAGCCGTCACTAGAAGTGAAAATCTTGTCGAAGGCGATTGTATACATTCTCGAGACATGAGCGCAAACCCTATCGAACCAAAAGGTAAAGCACAACCAACGACGAGCGATTCAATCTATATCAAGATTCTAACCATGTGGCACTGACTGAGCCAATAACTCACCTCCAGTACTGGCACCAAGAAGGCTAGGGTTTTCCCCGATCCTGTCTTGGCAGCACCCACCATGTCTTCTCCCGCAAGCAGAGGGGGGATTGCTTGGGCCTGAACAACGGCACCGACAACAACACAGAGCCGAGACAGAGCGGCATCCTCGTAAGGTAGCGCCGACTGCACCAAGAGTAAAGCAGGAAAGCAAGCCATTCCGTTTTTCCATCACAGAGTCGTAACTGCCCAAACCACTTGCCCGAGCCATGGTTCTGTTCGATTAACGTGCAAGTACGCCACCACAAACGAGTTCAGGTCTCCGCGCCTACCTGGATTTTGGTCGTCATCACGAGCTTCAACTTGGCAAGCGCGGAGAGCATGCCGCTGGACAACGGGAGAGTAGAAAACTCCACATTCGAGAAGAATCCAGTCTTAACCAGTTGTGGCACTGTGTCCTCTTGTTTGCTTGCTGCGGCCCCGGCCCCCTCGCTCGATTGCGGCTTGCCCGTTGCCCCATCCTTGCCTTTTTTACTCGGAGCAGATCCCCCTTGGTCGTCCCTCTGGCGCTTGCGGGGCTTCTCCCCGCCAGCAGCGGCCGTCTGTGGCAAGCAAAGGGACACAAGCACGCGGTAAAAGCTTGAGCGAGACACGGTTTACAAGGCCTCCATACGGCTTCCGCCGGAAATGATCCCGAGACCAGGGACCAACAAGCCAAAAGCCAGGCAAGCACTTCTCACACCTCGACATTTCTGGAAGGTTAAGGTATGGTTGATGATGAGAGTTTAGGACTCGCACCGTTCGCCGTCAAGCGTAAGGCCCAACACGCCACATGGGTACTGGCGTGTTACGCTCGTCTTTCTTCGTTGTACAGCAGTCCGACAACGTGCACCACCTTACCGCACCCGTCGGGTTCAAACACACCATGGTACACGTCTTCACCCCACAAACTCCACACCTCCTTGTCCTCCTCTTGGTCGCTACCGTCCTCTTCGGATTCCTCCTCGCTGCCGGAGGATTCTTCTTCTTCCTCCTCCTCCTCTTCTGCACTGCTCTCTTCCTCCTCCTCCTTCTTCGCCTTCGTCACTTCCGCCTCCTACAGCCACGCGGCACGACAAGACGACAATAGCAGAGTTAGCAGACGACGCGGGGTAAGAAGAGGTCTTGGGCGCGACAGAGCTGAGCAAGAACGCGCCAATGTTGTTCAAGTCGTGGATTGGCGGCAAGCCCACGGCAACACATCTACCTTCTGAATCAGAATCCCCTGTCCTGCACGGCAATTGCAAAGGTTGACAATATACCGTTCCATGATGTCGCTCTGTGTCCAAATAAGAGTGAGGCTGCTGCAGGTTACCAATGTCCTCGATCCTATTCCTATATTCTAAAATCCCGTAATACCCTGGACCTGCCGTGTACGGCCGTCGCAAAATCCGTGCAGCAGTATAGGGAGTGCACAATCGAGCGCATCAACAGGCATGGTGCTTGAGGTTCGACGTCGATATCAACACAAGACCTTCTAGGCTGCCAAACTCTCGGTGAACACCTTTTTTCGGCGGCCCTTGCTGTTGCCTGTGGGGGAAGGCCTCGCATTGCCTTTCGGTGGTGGCAAGGCCTTGGGCAGCTTCGCCGCCTTACGCTTCATGTTACCAGCTAGCACCGCAGTGGAACCGCGTCGAAAGGGAGGCGGTGGCACTGAGGTTACGGACGAGATATCTCGTGGTCACCTACTGCTCTGGGACGTCGGCGTGGAGAAGTAGGAATCGATAAGATGGAGTGCTGCACGGAGGTTAGTGTGGTGGTGTGCGGTGCGGCGCAATAGAAAGGACGTACGTGATAGGATGATATGATTCACGACCCCCCCCTAGCCATCCACCATCCACCATACCATCGTTTTCGGAGTGGAACAGAAAGTCCGCAGGGTGGAGTCTCTCTCTCTGCTCTGTGTGTTTGCCACTCTGAACTCTGTATAGACGTACGCGATGGATGGCGTTTATCAACAAGGATGGAGCGAAGCCGTGGTGGATATTTTGGTTGAATTTCTCGAGGCAGCCACGCACAGCTTGCTGCACTCACGGCGAACGTACCCTCAAGGTGGGCCGACACACCAGGGCAGATTTGAATGTTTGAATGTTTGAATCACACACCCTCACGCACCCTACTGCTGTTCCCTCGCTCCCGCGGGTAAAGAAATGAGGGTCGATACGAGCGACGAGTATGGTGAAGGAGTCAAGTTGGCCTGTTCTGCAGAACTATCGATGATCGTTCGCGTACATATGAACGTCTGAAGCGCAACCTGTCTGCATCGGTGAAGTCGTGTTGGGCATCGAAACGTGCACGTGCAGCAAATTCGCCTTCGGAACCCAAAATGTTTCTGTGTTCCTGCTCCACTTCGCTGTCCACATCCCTCTCGTAGATATCTTCGAACGACGCCGGAAATACGGCGTACCAGTGTGGATGAGCCGGCATCCCGAGCTGAACGCCTACATATCTGAGGTGTGCCATATCTCCGTCCTGCCGACGTCCTCGCCGCAGCAAACCCCAACTTCTTAGACTACTGCTGCGTAGACCAGTCTAAGTACCGACCTCTGTATTGACTGCTATAGACTAGACTACATGTATTTAGTATTTGTATTTCGTGCAAAAACTACATGAACATGAAGACGCACAGAACTACTACTGTGTTATCACCCCTCGCTCGCGCGGAATTTGCCTCCAAACACGATAGACACGCGATGCGTGCTTACTACGTGCAAGCACGCGGTGCTGTGCCATAGGCAGCAGGTCTGTTGTTGTCGATCCGGAAGCGAGGTTCGGCGGACGGCGGTGGATTGATTAGATGTGCCCATCTTTCTGTTTGTGCCTGTCTAGACTGCTGTGCCTGTTTTTTGTGTTTTTTTTGTCATGTTGGCGCAGCCCAAATAAGTGGTTATGACGCAGACTTCATAGAAACCAACCCCAATCGGCCGAGTGGAGGCATGGTACTATGTTTGGCTGGCACATCCGATGTTGTTGTTGTTGTTGTTGTTGTTTCTCACATTAGCTCTAAAAAAAAAAAAAGAGCCCGTGGTCCCAAAACCCGGCATACACGACCCCACGAAGAAACAGAAAAAAATAGGGTACAAAAACCACTCGGAAGAGAAACAAAATGATAGAAAGAAAGACCAGCTACCGCACCAAACGAGAAAGAGCGTCGAGGAGACCGATCAAAATAAAATAAAAGGAG